TACCAATTTGATCAGCTTAAAATCAGGTTTCTGATTTTTTGATAAGAAATTCACTATCGTTAACTAGATTTGACTAGTACTAACTCAATCAGTGTAAAGTTGTACTTGAGTAATTTAGACACAGTAGCTCGCCAGAACAAAATAATCCCCCCCCCCAAAAAAAAAAAACAAAAAAGTGCTAAGGTGTTTTTAGAATGATAAGAAATAAGTGTTACAAACTCCACTAAGTGCGCCTTGATTAGAAATACTCAAATCCTATGGATAATAACATCATTTTTTAGAGAGAAAAAACAAAACCCAAATATCTTATACCTGCAATAAAATGAATCCAAACAAAATGAATCCAAACCCAAATATCTCCCATCGATTTCATAAACAAACACCTTATACCATCACAACTCAAACCATCAAAAATACCCTATGCACATGAATAATGTCTAACTACATTTAACCTTCTAACATACCAAAAATCCCCATTTCTATTTATAATCATCAAAATCCCCATTTCTTCGATTCAAAGAGAGAAGGTTTTTCTATCTCAAGATTTTGGCTCGGATCAACAATGACATCAGAAAGAAAACACACCTCGCTGAGAAGGGGCGGTGTTCAGCCTTCCGCTATTCCTGCTAGAGAGAGAATTGTTCGCTGAGAAGGGGTGGTGTTCAGCCTTCCACTGTTCCTGCTCGGATCAACAATGACATCAGAAAGAAAACACACTTCGCTGAGCAAGAACCATGGAGCGAAAAACAACAAAAAAAGGGTAGAACAGGACCGCTAGAGAGAGGGATTCATGGATCTTGTGTTACCTTCCATAGAGATGGCCAGAGAAGCTACCGGAGATATGGCCGTTGGAACAACGGCTTCGAAGGGGAGACGAGCTTGTCGACTTCTTGCTTTGACAAACCCGATAGATTTTCTTAGCCTTTTCTTTTCTCACCGGGGTCGCACCAAAATGGTGCGATCCCGCTCACTAAATTTTGGGATCCCGCATCCCTCTAGTTTCTCATCCCAAAACACTGTTTACCAGTAAACAAACACAAGAAAGAAAGAATCATTCGGGAATATTCCCTTTTCTCATCCCTTTCTCAGCAATCAAAAAGACCCTTAGAATGTGTTTGGTTTGAAGGAAAAAATAGGGAAAGGGAATTTGTAAAGATTTCCCTACCCTTTCCCTACTTTTTCCTTCAAACCAAACATAGCCTTCATGTATAATAAATCACTTCTAAGTTTTAACTAGCATAGGTGGTGGTATTCTATGCACATGCCCTTTCTTCATTTTCAGATATCTCCTCAATCAGTCTATCTAATAATGTCAAAAGTTTCTCCTCCAGCACTTGACATATTTTGTTCCCTGACATGTCCACAACTTCAAATAAATCAACACGGTTCAAGCATTTAATTTTGTCAAAGAGAGAATTTCATCCCTCTTCTACCCACCAGGCATAAGTTCATTTAAATTCTGTCCTTTGTATCTAAGTTCCTCCACAAAGACAGATTGAGAATGCCCAAGCTTCTCCAATTCTGCATTTCTCATCTAGAGACCAGTCTACATGTTGGAAATGCATGCTTCCAGGAACAAATTTTGTCTTGCAACCAAATACATATATTTGGTTGCAAGAAGTTTCAAGTGCCAATTTCTTCTCCTGTAAATCTTCAAGGATTCTGCAATGGTCCAACTTTAGCTTCCCTATTTCAATCCTCTAGATCTTCATGAAATCTTTTGTGTTCAGTTCTGCTTGCAGCCTACAAACAGAACATTCCAGATCTTCATGAAATCTTTTGTCTCAATCTTCAATGACTTATTTTCCTTGGATTAGAAGAATAATCCAATGCTACTTCCTTTGTGCTCAGATCTTCATGAAATCTTTTCTTTCCAATCTCAAGCACTTGAACCCACGCCACCAGCCTTTTCTTATCTTCCAGGCCTCAGTAAGCTCATTTTGACTCAAGCAGGGAACTTCTTTTAGGCCCCGTTCACTTTTTGGTAAGTTTTTCCTGAGAAACACTTATCCGGGTAAGTACATTTACCCATGTTCTTTTACTTGGGTAAGTTTTTCCTGAGAAACACTTATCCGGGTAAGTACATTTACCCATGTTCTTTTATTTCTCATGTAAATAAGGCATTGACCATTTTAACCATAAAAATCCATTATTAAAAAGGGCATTTTTGTCCCATTCAAGTGTTGGCAACTTTTCCCCTAGGTGGGAAAGTTATTTACCCACCTAGGAGATGGGTATCCGGGTAAGTGATACCCAGGAAAATAAACTTTCCCTAGTCCCCACATAAATCTGAAAAAAGAACATGGGATTCTTGGTAAATGGGAACCAAAATCCCATTGACCAACTTTCCCCCCTCTCAAAATCCCAAAAAAGAATGCCCCCTTAATGATTGAATGTCCTGTTCAACGGATATATTCACTTTATCCATCTATGTGATTCTTATGCTATTTTGCTTTAGCTTTAGCAATAGGCCATGCCTGTCATTATGTGCTTGATTAGCTTCATTTTATCCATCTACCATAAGTAAAATCAGTTCTTATTCATATTATCAAGCACATCTGCAAGTTTACATCGCTCTCTCACCAGATGATCATCTTTTTGGAAGCTCATCTGTTTCAAAACTGATGTCATTGCACACCACTCTACCACCTCTGTATGCACAATCTCATTGCAACTCTTTTCAATCTCTAAGCAGTATTCCTTATAACCAAGAAATAGTTGGGTTTGACCCAATTGTGCATTATCATTGGTGGATATATAATAAGGCCTTCTGGCCCCCATGCTAAATGTCTTTACACTGCTTATCAATAGTTGTCTGCACAACTACAGGTCAATCAACAAGAGAGAATCTCTCCTTGGTGATCATCAACACGAATACTACAAGAATTGCAACCAATGTCTTTGACATAGTGCTGGTCTTACATTCATGTACAGTGAATTATCTTCTCTGCAACAATTGCAGTGACAGGTAAGGTGCAAGTGACCATATTGTTTTAGTTGGAATTTTCATATTCAAGAATACACACGTAAAAAAAAAAAAAGTTTGATTGACAAATGAAAAAGTTCCATGTCCTTGACATAGAGCAGGAGAAATGACCTTTGGGTACGCATATGACTTGTTAAACATATTATGGATGAACTACACTTATTTCCTACAAAGCTTTCTCCAACTCCAAATACTGTGTCAAGTATGAGTCAGGTTATACCTTTATATTGTACATCAGACAGTAAGAAAAATGCTAGATTTCAGCTATAAAAGATAAACGTGAAATTTAACTATATTGATTTTATAGCTCATTCTTTCTGTTAGAGTTTAATGGTTCTGCTACTTTATTGTCCAATTATATTAATGATGTGGCATTGATGTTTCCATTGAACCTGTGACATGAATGATAATATACAAGTATGGGAGATATTTTTGATGTATGGCTGCAATGTCTTATGGATACATGTGATTAGCATTCTTGTGAAAAGAATATCTACTTGCAACAAGTCATATAGCCACACATTGGCAACATCTCAGTTAAGGAAATTCTATATTTTTTTTATTCAGAGGGACTATTATTATAAGGACTTCCTGACAAGTTAAATTATATTATAATTCACTACTGCGAAAAAAATCCACATTTCTTTCTTTTTATCAAATTAGAACTTGGATCAAGATCTCATGATATGACTTTATAGATCAACAAAGG